ATTAGGCAAATCTGCTGCACAAGACCTTTTTAAAGTGTTGAAGAGCAAAGATGTCAGCTTGAGGACTAAGGTATGCCTGACCCAAGCCATGGTATTTTCAATAATCTCATATGCATGTGACAGCTGGACAGTGAAACGGAAGACCATAGAAGAATTGATGCCTTTGAATTATGGTGTTGGAGGAGAATACTAAAAGTGCCATGAGCTGCCAAAAGAACCAACAGATCTGTGATGGAAGAAGTGCAGTCAGAGTGCTCCTTGGAGGCTAGGATGGCCAAACTTCGTCTCTCATCCTTTGGACATATTCTCAGGAGGGACCAGTCGATGGAAAAGGTGGAGGGTCAGAGAAAAAGAGGAAGATCCCCAGTGAGATGGATTGGCCAAGTGGCAGCATCAATGGACTCAAGTGTGGCAATAATGGTGAGGTTGGCCAGGATCGGGCAGTGTTTCATTCTGCTGTGCATAAGGTCACTATGGGTCGGTACCAACTCGATGGCACCTAACAACAACAATAGCATACGTATGTGAAAGTTGGACAATGAATAAAGAAGACCAGAGAAAAATCAATGGATTTCAATCATGGTGTTGGCAAAGAATACTGAAAGTACCATGGATCGCCAAAAGATTGAACAAAACTGTTTTGGAAGAAGGTATTTCTGGATTGCTCCTTAGACACAAGGATGGGAAGATCTTGTCTCTTGTTTAGACCACTTGTCAGGAGGGACCAGTGAATGGAGAAGGACATCATGCTTGCTAAAGTGGAGGGTCAGTGAAAAAGAACCCCCCAATGATACGGATTTACACATCAGCAACACTGGAGTCACACAAAGCAGCAACTGTGAAGATGGTGAAGTACCAAGCATACGGTCGCTATAAGTTGGAACCGACTCGATGGTATCTAATAACAACATCTTTATAGGAGGAGAGCCAACTAGACACGACAATTGTGCATCAAACCTCTCCCTGGGCTGATGGAAGGGCATTAAGTATCAGTGGAAGGGCTGAGACCAGTGGGTTGGGACACATTGGTGAGGTAAGACCCTGACCTGAATTGCATAAACCGGGACTCGGACACATAAGGGCATCTCCTAAGGTCACATGGCCACAGCTGCTCTGAGGGGGTCTTCTGTTTCCCCAGCAGGGGCCTATCTCTGCATTCACTGGGCTCTGAGGGTCAGAGATGGGAAGGACCTCAACTAGGGTGGGTCAATCGGCCCGAATCTTCAGGACCCCGAAGTTCAGAGAGGTGATGTCATTGTCCAGACTGCCCCTGGCTAGACAGTGACCAATCGAATAGCCTGGGCAGGAGTCTCCAACTGTGGCCATCTTAATTTGCACCTTAAATCCCACGAGGTGGATCAGGGCTGACTCAACGGTGAGCATGGTTGGCCTTGAGCTAGTGGCTCACTGGGCCGGCCCCTGAGAGTGGTCCTCTCCCGGGGCTGCAGGCAGAGCAGCTGGGGGCCTTCTGCAAGGGGTGGTGGTTGAGCTAGAACAAAGAACACAGTGCTGTTGACAGCTGAAAGGCTCAGTGCTGATTGACAAACGAGCTGGCACCTGAGCGTCTGAAGTGAGGTGACACCAAGTGCAAGCCTGGGGCAGCCAGATGAAAACAAAAGACTGAGACGGTCTGGGGGCAGCCGACTGGCTCAGGGTCTTCTCTTGGGACAGAGCCTGGGCCTGCAGCAGCGTGGTGGGTGGTCCTGTGCAAGCTGCTTGTCAACTCCTGCCTCTCCAACACCTCGTCCCCGTCCTCAGGTCCTGCAGATGTCACCGTTACCTCCTGTCAATCACTCAGCATCTCAAGGACCCATTAAGCCAGATAGTGCCCCAGGCTCCCAGTCCCCATGCTGTAACTACAGCAACAACAGAGACAACTTGAAGAGTCTGAATCTTCAATGGTCCCATAGTATGAACATTATTGGCATTCATAAGGTCTTTTAGAAATCTCCACAGCAGCCCTGTGAAATGGCTATCAGCGTCCTGGTATTTTACAGCATTGTATAGCCTAGTGAGCTGGGTTACACAGAGGTAACGAGACTCGGCTCGGGCACGTTGTGAGTGTTAGAGGCGGGATTCAGTTATCCTATGAGCACATCTGTCTGGTTCTAGACCGTGTGGCTTAGTGAGGACCACTTGGGTGGGAAGTATGCAATCCTTGCCCTGGAGGTGTTCTTGCTTTTAAAAAGAGACACAAAGAAGAAATGGTTTACATTTTCCCATGGGATGTGTTCACATCTGCGAGTGATAGCTGGAACCTGGCAGCCACCTTGTGACTTTGAGGAAGAGGATAACAGACTGAGAACTGGAGAGCAGCAAGAAGGAAGAAGACAATGAATTAACCAGCGCTGGAGCCACCAAGAGATCCCTAGGAGGCACAAATGGTTTGGTTTTGCCTACCGACCTCAAGGTTGGTCATTCAAACCCAGCCAGCAACACTATGGCACTCCGTTTCCATAAAAGATCACAGCCAAGAAAACATCTATGGGACAGTTCTGTGGCACACAGGGTCACTATGTGTTGGAACACACTCAACACCAATGGGCTTGGTTCTTGGGGGTTTGGCGCTGTTGCGTCTCTCAACTTCCGGTCCTGCATGAAAATAAGTTTCCCTTATTTTATAAATCTCCTTGAGTCTGGTTACTGCTTCTGATGTTGTTATTAAGTACTGTCGGTTGATTCCGACTCTCAGTGACACTGTATAGGGTTTCTGAGGAGCAGCTGGTGGGGTTGAACTGCCAAACCACTGACCTTTTGGTTCACAGTCCAGTGCTTATCCTACAGCACCACACCAGGAGTCCTGCTACTTAGCTCAAAACACCACCTCTCTGGTTCATAGGCTAAGAAGGCAGATACCTTGAGTGTCCCCATCAGGGTAATCTTCCTTTAGGGGAATTTCCTGACAAATATAAGTGCTCAGTATGATGATGAAGATGAAGATGAAGATAATGGCTATGGTACTGAGGGGGATGGTGATAATGATGGTGGTGTTGATGATGATGTTAGTGATGATGATGGTGTTGGTAATGATGTTGTGATGTTGATGATGATGATGATGTTGATGATGATGAGGAAGGTGAAGATGATGGTAGTGATGATGATGGTGTTGTTGATGATGATGATGTTGATGATGATGATGAAGGTGAAGATGATGGTAGTGATGATGATGGTGTTGTTGATGATGATGATGTTGATGATGATGATGAAGGTGAAGATGATGGCAGTGATGATGATGGTGTTGATGATGATGATGATGATGAAGGTGAAGATGGTAGTGATGATGATGGTGTTGGTAATGATGTTGATGATGTTGATGATGATGATGGTGATGATGAAGGTGAAGATGATGGTAGTGATGTTGATGGTGTTGGTAATGATGTTGATGATGTTGATGATGATGATGATGGTGATGATGAAGGTGAAGATGGTAGTGATAATGATGGTGTTGGTAATGATGTTGATGATGGTGACGATGGTGATGATGAGGGTGAAGATAATGGTGGTGAGGAAGGTGATGGTAGCGATGATGATGATGATAATGGTGAAGACGAAGGTGATGATGATGACAGTGGTGATGGTGACAATGAGGACAAGTGGGCTTTCTTTCACTAGTTTGAGAAACCAGGCTTTCTGAAGATGCAGACTTAGTATTTCAGACCCTTTTCCATTCAGGCTCCAACAGCAACTATGGGAGAGGCAGCAGATGGCAGAGGGCTGCTCCGGGTTCCCCTCAGAATGCCAGCCCCCTGCTCTCCCCAGGATCAGAGAAGCTGCCAGGCACTGGCATCATAGCACAGGCAGGGCTCCGGCTGAATGTTTACTATTTCTTGTTAACACATTTGGTTCTCACAGCCACCCTATGAAGGAGTTACTATCCCATCCCACTTTACAGATGGGGAACCACGATCCAGAAAGTCCGGCAAACTGTCCCTGATGATGCAGGAGCACTTGGTGAAGCAAGTAGGTGACATGCTGGGTAAGCTGGACACTGTCAGGAGACAGGGGCTTTCCTCACAGCTGACAGGACTGAGCATGCTCTGAGCTTTGAAGAAGGCACTGGGCATGTCCACACAGACTCAGCCCAGAGATCTCTGTGGGAAATCCTACAGAAGGAGAATTCTGGCGTGTGAGGTGTGAGGGCATTTGTTACAGCAGCGCATGATACTGAAGGAGACACCACACAAGCAAGCCTGGACCTAGCAGAGCCTCCCTCAATGGGGAGGGAGCAGAGCTGGCGGCTCTGGGTACAGTCGAGCTCTGCATGAGGGAGACCGATGAAGCGAGACTCAGATCAGACTGAGCTCCAGAATTGTGTTTATGGTTTCATCTCATCTTGGTAAAAATAAAGAAATAAAATGACACTTCTGCTTGGGTGTATGCGTGTGTGTGGTGTGGAAGAAAACATGCCACAGTCTTTGCACACAGAAGGTAGGAAGGAATGGGGTGGTCTGAGGAGACTCTCAGAAAATATTTCTATCAACATTATTAGGTTTTAAAAATATAGAAAAACATGCAGACAAAGCCAACAATGCTCACAACCCATTTCCTTAAATAACTACGATCCAACATTTATTGAAGTATACGGCATTTGATATAGGCAGAATTCTAATCACACTTTGTGTGGGTCTCTCCCCTTGAGTGTGGGTGGAACGTGTGAATTGTTCCTCACCAATGGAATATGGAGAAGGGAAAGAGATCTTGTAAATCAAATCCCTGTCTTCATTCTCTAGAGCAGCTGTAAGAAAAAAACTACAAGGGGGTGGTTTTCACAAACAGGAATTCATTTTCTCACAGTTTGGGAGACTAGAAGTCAGGGTGCTGGCTCTGTGCAAGAGTTTTCTAGGCTCAGGAGGAAGGTCCTTGTCACCTTTCAGATCTGTGGAGATCTCCAGGTACCTTGACATTGACCTTCCTCTGGGTCTAGAATTTTCTCAGAGGAGGGACTCTGGATTCCAAGGACCCATCCCACGCCTGGCTCTTCTTACTGGGTGGTAAGTGGCCTGTCTCTGCTCAGTTCCTGCGCCTTTTGTCTCTTGTTAGAGAAAGGGTGATGTGGGCCACGCCCTGAGTAAGGGTGTCATTTCCCACTATATCCCCTCCCACCAGATCAGGGCTGATCACATCAGCTTACATCATGACGTAACCACCGAATGACATCACTATCATAACTGACAAACTACTGAGAAACACGGCCCAGTTGACACATATTTTGGGGGGACACAAGTCAATCCATAACAGTCTCTAATTTGTTGCTTTTGAGTTCATCAAAAGGGTGATTCTTTGAGGTGGGCCTGACTTAATCAGGTGAAAGTCCATAAAAGAAAGATGAAGCCCCTCCCTGAGGTCACAGAATGAAACCACCATGAGTTCCATAAACTGCCAGGAAATGAATTCTGATGATAACCTAAGGGGCCTTAGACGTGAATTTTTTCCAGCTGATGAGAACGCAGCCCAGCCAACACCTTGTTTGCAGACTGGTGAGACTTGAGAAGAGAATTCTCCTAAGCCAAGCCCAAATTCCTGAGTCACAAAAATGGTGCCATAATGAACCTGTGGTGTTCTAAACCACTCAGAAACAAACCCTAACCCATCACGTCCATTCCAACGCCAAGCCACCCAATAGGACAGAGTAAAACCGTGTCACATGATTCCCAAGGGCATCTTTTTCCTGTGGGGTGGCTGGTTCTCAGTCTAATGCTTAACTCACTAAAAATGGCTCAGTACCTATGCCTAGAAAATGTAGACAGTCAAGTCCCTGTTTCCTCTCTTGCTCACACAATTTCTCTGCAGGACTCAAAGCCTCTTGCTTTCATCTAGAACCTGCAATGCAGACTCAAGGGAAGGACAATTATTTTTGTTTTTATGTAAGCAACACAGACACCACCAGCAACTTAGAAACCAGGATAGACACTGCCTATGAAGTCTATACACGGTAGCCCATGCAGACTGCCAATATACACTATAGAGACACACAGTCCATAAATACTGTCCGTGCATGCTGTCCACTCACACTGTCCACACACAGTCTATAAACATTGCTCATACATGCTGTTCATACACAATGTCTATAAATACTGTCCAGCATGCTGTCTATGCAGTGTGCATGTACACTGCCTGTACTCACTGTCCATACACACTGTTAGAATACTGATGCACCTGCCTACCACAGATTAGATATGCCTGCCCGTTACGTACAGCCGCACCCTCCAGCCCCTTAAATGGTACGATACAGGACACCTCTCAGAAAAGCAGATGTGGTTGTCTAGTGGCTCATTGCAACACCATACAGCAACAAGAGTGAAGAGTTCACAGACACAGCCAGCAACATGGCTGCCTCTCCCCCAAGTGCTGAGTGCTGGGGCTGAAAACACTGTAAGATTCCATTTATACCAAAGCAACAGGTAAGCCGGTCAGTGCTGCAGGAAGCCAGGAGAGCCATTGCCTCGTGGGTCTAGGGGGTGAAGAGGTTTTTGCAAAGATGACAGATGACTTTGGAGGGCGGCACGATTCCGTTTTTGCTGTGGGTGTTCCTTACAGGGTATGTTCCACTGTGAAAACTCCATCATGCTGGGTCCTTTAAGATATCTGCACGGTTACATGTTGTTGCTAAGTGCTGGTGAGTCAGTTCGGACTCATAGCAACCCAGTACAGGGTTCCCGAGAACTGGCTGGTGTGTTTGAACCACTGACCTTGCAGTTAGCAGTCCAGTGCTTATCATACAGCACCACTCCAGACTTCCACTGTTATATGTTGTTAAGCGCAGTCAAATCAATTACGACTCATAGTGACTTTGTATAGGGTTTCCAAGAAGCACCTGGTGGGTTTTGAACTGCCAACCTTGTGAGTTGCAGTCCAGTGCGGATCCTACAGCATCACATCAAAATACTCAAATCCACTGCCACTGAGTTGATGACACCTCACTGTGATCCTATAGGGCAGAACAGAACTGCCCCACAGGGTTTCCAAGGCTGGCATCTTTACAGAAGCCAACTGCCATGTATTTCTCCTCAGAGTGGCTGGTTGGGTTAGACCGCTAGCATCTGAGCACTTAACCAATGCACCACCAGGGTTCATTTTTACCATAGGGGTCCTGGTGTGGCACTTTGAATGGACTGGACCTCGAGGGTGGTTTGAACTCACCAGAAAGCCTATACAGGGTCACTATGAGTCATAATCAATTTGACA